CTCGTGCCACCCGTCAGTCGACTGATAGCCTGTCAAATGGCTAGTTTTGTACAGAATCTGTTTCTTAGTTTGTGGGAGATTTTTGTTGGATTTCTCTGGGTTTTGGCTGATACCTTCTCTTCCTATAAATACCCTACTGCCTTCAACTCTCAAACAAACAAAAGAAAAGTTTAAATAAGTTTTTAAAGGGTGTTTAAGTGTGTTTAAGTTTGGTTTAAAGCTTGTTTGGTTTGTGAAGAAGTTTCCACAAGTGGAGAAGATCATCTACATTGTTTAAGATTCATCTTAATCCATCTCTATCTTGTTTCTTTAGAGAAGAATTTCTAAACTCAATACTAGCTTTGTATTAATTATTTGTTATTTATCATTTTATCAAGCTAGGTTTTACATTGAGTTTATGATTGATTTTCTCATTGCTTACACACACAACCATTGAGCTTATTGTATTTGCATATATTGTATAATTGGGTTGTGGGGAGTTGTATCAACTGAGAATGAGCTTAATTGAGTTCTCATCCATTATAGAGAACATCCAAAGTTGTATTTGTACCTAATTGTAGATCACCTTGTAATACACTTGTACATCGAGAGAAGTGCGGGGTCGTCCCAAGAGGAGTATGGTAGGTAACAATACATAGAGAGAGGTTGTAATTTCTAACACTTGAGGGAGACACGGACTAGAGACCAACACTTGAGAGGGTGTAAAGTGAAATTGTAAGAGTGTGAGATTGTAAAGTTTTTGGTGAACTAGAAAACCGAGTGTGAGGTGTAAATGTTATTCGGGTGAGCGTAGAAAACCCGGTTGTGATAGTGGAGATCTCCTCGAGGTGAGGAGCGGAGACGTAGGTCATGGGGACCGAACTCCATGATCATATCATTTATTTGTGATTGTATTGGCACACTTATCTTTATGTTTATATCTTACATTGTCTTTGTATATTGCTTGTTGTTTATATTCCCCACTATCTAGTTTAGATTTTTTTACCCTTGTGTTGTTTGTATATCCTTGCATATATCTTGTAGTATATCTCATTGTTAGGATATTTCTCTTTGTTCATATTGCATATTCTTGCTCATATCATATTGTATATCTATCTTGCAAGAATAATATTTGAATTAGTTTTAAATCAGATTAGATTAGCATAAGAACCAAATCACCCCCCTCCCCCTCTAGGGTCTAACAGTTAGGCCTTATGCTGTTGAATGGGATACAACCTCTTATTCTCCAAAGTTCAAAGTCCTAACCCTGTAAGCTTTTGACGGCACGGGATCACCGATCTGACATATCTATTATTTCAAATCACAGACTAGAAATATGATAGCAAACGATGTCGTACTGACTAGTTTGTTTATCGGTACCCTAAAGAGGGTCATCTTTGGGTGGTTCATGAAACTACCTACGGTATGTATCCAGAAGTGGGCAGACCTAGAAAGACTATTCCTGACTAGATTCTTTAAAGATGATACAGAAGTCTCCATCCCTTCTCTTCTTACCACAAAGCAGAAGAAGGGAGAGCCTATCAAAGCCTTCATTGAGAGGTTCCGAAGCATTGCTCTTCGATGTCCAACATGGATGATACAGTCCACTCTAATAGAAATTATCGACACAACTTGCAGACCAATCTCCTACACCAAATGGGAGTTGCAGATGTTGGCCTTCTTGTTTTGATGATGTTTAACAAACAATTTACCACTAATGTTGTTTGTCTAGTATTTGTGTTTTCTTATTTATTATAGACAACAAGCGTTGTTGGAGGATGGATGGAATAGCGCTTTAACGCACGGATATCAAATGTGAAGGTTGGCTGAATTGTTGGAGTGAAGCAATATGCAATTCAAGTTAAAGATCAAGTTCAAGCT